TCAGTCATGCTTGCTTTGTTTGGTGTCATCTCTTTGTGTTTTGGCTTGTAAGGCAACTTTGGTGATGACGGACACGTGGCCTTAGGCAAACGAGTCAGGGTTTCCTAAATTTTCTCAAAATAAAATATTTAGGTGGCGATTCTGTATCTGGCAAAGCAGTCCATGTTTAACACTTCTTTCAAAATCTGTTTTCTCAAAACGATTTGCCAGATTTGGACTCTTTGGTTCAGATTACGAACCGTGACAATTTGAGAGTTTGAACTGTAGTGAGCCCAATATCGAACGGAATGGGGGGACTCGTTCCTCCCGGGGGCGTTCGGGGGACGTCTACATGTTGATATTAGTTTATGTATTTATTATTTTTTTAGACCTTAGAATTTTTGGCAATTTGACATTGTAGGTTATTTTTCAACTTTGCATTATTTAAATTGTTTTGATTAGTTATTGTTATTTTAATGTTAGAGGTATTGAATAATTATGAAATTTATGGGGGATGGTTTGGTTGGCGTTTTGTTAGTATTTTTTTTTTTATGCCTTGTAAGCTTTTTGAGCATGGAAATTTATTTAAACCTTATGGAGACGTGAACGTTTAGATTTTGTTTCACCCCTACGATTTGGATAATGGAATATTGATTGGAGTTTAGTCTTAAATTAATATTTAATTGTCCAAATTTTGGGGCGTGACACTTAGCCTCGTAACATGGCTTCTGCTTCGTTCGCCATTCTCTCTCTGTCTCTATTTAGAGTTCACTGATATCTGTTTCTTTGTTGCTGTTATAGCCGAATGCATGGCTTCCTTTTAAAGCCATCAACAATTTTTTTTTTTTTTTCAAAAAACTATAGGTATGGTAATTGTTAATGTGTTTGAGTTGGAGATTGACTTTATGAAATGGACATTGTTATATAAGTTTAAAAATTAGACTCAATTTTTAAGATTAATGATGTGGCAATCAATTAAAATATTTAAGGTATCATGTTCTCTTATATCTTTTTAATTATTAACCAATCATATTACTTACACATTATTAAATTTAGAAAATAAGTTTAAAAAATAGATTTATCATTTTTCTTATGAAATTTGTTCGTGTGTGGGTTTGGGTGAAGTAAAGCAACGTTGGTTGATGGTGCTAAGAAATTTTAAAACCCATTAATCTATCACAAATTTTATACACTTTCAATTTATGAAAAATTCAATCATAAAAGACTTATATCAAGTGTGATTGATAGTCTGATTAGATTTTGTATATTTAAAAAAAAATTAAATTATTTTGCTTATGGCTTCATTTGGGAAGTTAGTTGTAGCTAATTTAACCCACTAAAAAATAAAATAGACAAAAAAGTAAATAAGATAAAATGTTACATCCAAACTATAATAATTTCATTTTTTCTCTTACAAAATTACCAAAAAAAAAAAATCAAAAGTTTTTTCCAAACAGAACTTTTTGAATTAGGCTAAAATAATCAAAAAAAATCAAACTAAAAAAGTTCTTAATTGTTATTCTTGCTATTTGGGGGGGGTGGTAAAAACCAAAATTTATTATTTTGTCAAACTATATGTCAAATTTGGCACAAAGTTTGGTAATGTTATAATTCGTTGGGGAGTAGTACAGAATAATAGGAAAAATCATAATTTATTATTTTGCCAAACCATGTGTTAAATTTGGCACAAAGTTTAGTAATGCTACAATTCATTGGGAGGTGGTGCACAGTCACAGAAAAAATTAGAATTTGTTAGTTTGTCAAATCATGTGCCAAATTTAACACAAAGTTTTGCAATGCTATAATTTGGCAACTATTTTGGTATGCCATTGGAGCTTTTTTGTTGGGTTCATCACTCCAGTTGTGTAGGATCCACTGTATTCAAACAATTTTCTCATGCCAACTCATTTGTCATACATGTATAACAATAGTTCGTGAAACAAACCTAATAGTTACACTTAGAATTGCAAAGAAATATAGTTAAGTAGGATTGTATATAAGCTTGGTTTGTTTATTAATCAAACTCAAATTCAGCTAGAATATACGATTGAACATGCTCAAACTTGACTTTTCAAATATTAAACTCAAACACAATTAAGACCTCCAATGAAAATAAAATTAAAAAAAAACTGCTTTATTATATACATTATAACCCCTCTTCTGTAGACTTGAAAGGATGAATGTCGGAGGCTGATACTTAGAGTGCTAGCTCCCTACGATACTTTTTCCATTTATGTCTTTTTTGTTGGGAATGAAATGAAGAGTGAAAATCTATATTTAATTGTTGTATATTTTCATTAAATGAAAGGCTTGATTACAAATATGGTGAATACTCAACAACTTGCCGGTGCTTCAATCTTTTTGCTTTTTGTAGAAAACATTCAAGCGTGTCAAGTTCATTGTTAATCAAATGAGCTGAAATTTAAATTTGAATTCATAATTCACGGCAATATATAAAGGTTTTAAGAATTAAATATTTGTCAAAAGTATAAAAATTTGTTGTAAAAAAATATTAGGAATCAATTCTTGTCATCGTTAAGGTTGTCATTAAAAGGTCATTCTAAACAGTTAAAAAACAAAAACTTTTAGCAACAAAAATTTAAAAATGTTGTTATTAAATACAATTTAGGACCAAACAACTTGGTGCCAAAATAATTTACAATTTGAGATAAACTTTGATTCCAAAAGGATAGTAATTGATTATTAAATGTCTAATTTTATTGCTAAAAAAACAATAATGTCATTTTAGCAACTATAATATTTCATTATTAGAAATGTGTTTTTATTCCTATATTTTTATCTCTACAACGTCAATTTATTATAGTGATCGGGTGAGTATCGAACTGTATGTTACCTTCTTCATCTGTAGTTGGCGTGTTACTAAACATGTAACCCCCAACATGGTTAACTCTGATAATGTCTCTGCAACAGCTACAGCAGCTACAGAAGCTCAGCCTATAGCTGCAGAAGAAGAGAAGAAGAGCTGCAGTTGAGCTGCAGTTGAAGCCACAGAGCTGAGCTCCTTTCTGCAGTAGAATTATACAGCAGAGCTATACAAATCTGTTACAAATCAGTTAGAGATAGTGGTGCATGTGTTACATATAGTGATGTGTTAGTTAGTGTGTTAGTTAGAAAGTTGTTATAACTGTACCTTAGGTTAGTTAACTAGTTACTAGAGTTACAATTGTTGTATATAAATATAACTGTACAGAAGCTATTTTTAATAATGAAAATATAAGCTTCATATTCACTTTATGGTATCAGAGCATTCTAGCTCTTGCGAGCATCAAAAACTTCATCTTCAATCTATCAATGGTGAATCTTCATCAAGAATCAGCAATGGCAGCTTCTTCATCAGATTACACTACATGCTTTTTCATATTCTGATTGGGCTGGCAGTTCACTGGATAGACGTTCCACTACTGGCTTCTGCGTTTTTCTTGGTCCAAATTTGGTGTCCTGGTCTGCTAAAAAGCAGCCTACTGTGGCTAGATCATCTACTGAAGTTGAATATAGAGCATTGGCTCACACTGCTGCTGAGTTAAGTTGGCTTGGAATGCTTCTCTCTGATTTGCATGTTCCTTCTTCTTCTCCTACTTTATGGTGTGCTAATATATCTTCCATATCTCTGTCTTCCAATCCTGTTTTTCATGCCCGAACTAAACATATCGAGGTGGACTATCACTATGTTAGAGAAAGAGTAGCTGCTAAACAACTCTCCATTTGTCATATTCCAACTTCTGATCAGGTGGCAGATATTTTCACCAAACCTCTGTCTATTTCCCGCTTTACTTATCTTCAGTCCAAGCTTATGGTTCTTCCCTCTCCCATCAGCTTGAGGGGGCCTGATAATGTCTCTGCAACAGCTACAGCAGCTACAGAAGCTCAGCCTATAGCTGCAGAAGAAGAGAAGAAGAGCTGCAGTTGAGCTGCAGTTGAAGCCACAGAGCTGAGCTCCTTTCTGCAGTAGAATTATACAGCAGAGCTATACAAATCTGTTACAAATCAGTTAGAGATAGTGGTGCATGTGTTACATATAGTGATGTGTTAGTTAGTGTGTTAGTTAGAAAGTTGTTATAACTGTACCTTAGGTTAGTTAACTAGTTACTAGAGTTACAATTGTTGTATATAAATATAACTGTACAGAAGTTATTTTTAATAATGAAAATATAAGCTTCATATTCACTTTAAACTCCAGGGCATGGTGGTGCAGTGGTGACAAATGAAAGTTGGTTCATTTCACATGCGGGTATGCTTTCACAATCTCAGCAATACTAACATCGACCAGAGATCCAATGCAATCAAAATTCATGTTTGTCATAGTTTTACATTGTGATCTTTACGTTTATGCTCTTGAAATGGGTCCAAAAGATCCAGTTTAGGACACATTTTCTAATATTATTTAAAGAAATATAAGATTAATACTAAACACACATAATTTTACATTTAAGAGACCCTTTTTAGTTACCTTGAATGAACTATTTGGCGTAGTGTATATATATATTCTTACATGTAAACCATACAAATGGAAGTACTTGTTCCCACAACCATTATTAGATCAATGATGGAAGCTTGCTAAAACATATTGGAAGAGATAATAGGATTTAGTTTGGGTTGGAACACTTATTATCTAAAGACAATAATACTAAGAATACTAACAAAGATGCCAGTAAATATAACATGTTGGTTCCACTGCTTGTGTGAGGTCCACTTTGTATGTTTGTTTTGCACATTTGTTCTTGCTCCTGACTCATTATTGTATTCGAAGCACATCAGTCGCCAGTTATTGTGGATATGCCTCGATAATTGACTGGAAAGCTGGAATTTTGATGATGTTGTAGCGCACGAATCCTCCTTCATTTAGTATCTTTTTCCATTCAAGCTCAGTCCTCTCTTTCCCACCTCCAAACAACGTGAGCATCACTAGGTCCAATGCCATGCCTATGTTGTCAAATAGGCCATCGCCACCCGGTTGCAAAATCGTATCAACTATAACAATCTTTCCAGTTTTCTCTGGGATTGCTTTTCTGCAGTTTCTCAATATCTTGACACAATCTTCATCACTCCAGTTGTGTAGGATCCACTACATTCAAACAATTTTCTCATGCCAACTCATTTTTCACACATATAAAAATAGTTCCTTCAATAAACCTTTTAATTACGCTTAGGATTGTAAACGAATCTAGTCGAGTAGGATTATATATAAACTTGGCTCATTTATTAATCAAACTCAAATTCAACTAGAATATACGATTGAGCATGCTCGAACTTGATTTTTTAAATATTAAACTCAAACACAGCTCAAACCTCCAACAAAATTTTTTTTAAAAAAAAAAATCGCATTAATGTCGGAGGCAGCTACTTAGAGTGCTAGCTCCATACGATACTTTTTCTGTTTATGTCTGTTTTGTTGGGGATGAAATGAAGAGTGAAAATCTATATTTAACTGTAGCGGATTTTTATTAAATAAAAAACTTAATTATAGATATGGGAAATACTCAAAAATTTGCTGGTGTTTCAATTTTTTGCTTTTTGCAGAAAACATTCAAGTGTGTCAAGCTCATTGTTAATCAAATGAGTTGAAATTTAAATTCGAATTCATAATTCACAGCAATATATAAAGGTTTTAAGAATTAAATATTTGTCCTCAAAAGTATAAAAATTTGTTGTAAACATTTAGGAGTCAATTCTTGTCATCGTGAGTCTCATTATTAAAAGGTCATTCTAAATGTTAAAAAAGAAAAACTTTTAGCAACAAAAATTTATGTCGCTATTAAATACACTTTTAGGGCAAAACAACTTGGTGCCAAAATAATTTGCATTTGTAGATAAATTTTGATCCCAAAAGTATAGTAATTGATTATTAAATGTCTAATTTTATCGCTAAAAAAATAATAATGTTATTTTGACAACTATAATATTTTGTCATTAAAAAAGTACTTTTATTCCTAAATTTTTATCTCTACAACCTCAATTTATTATAGTGATTGGGTGGGTATGGGACTGTATGTTACCTTCATGAAGATTGCATCTGTAGCTGGAATGTTACTAAACATGTCACCCCCAACGTGGTTAACTCCAGGGCATGGTGGTGCAGTGGCAACAACGTGTGGCAAATCAAAGTTGGTTCCTTTGACATGCGGGTATGCTTTCACAATCTCAGCAATGGAAGCCCCAGTGCCACCACCAACATCGACTAGAGATCCAATGCAATCAAACCCATGTTTATATTCGGATATCAAAGCCTTGATCGTGATCCTAGCAGTACATTCCATGCCATCATTGAAGACCTTGTTGAGCTCAGGATCGACCGATGCAAAGTCCCACAACTCACGCCCATGGGCCATGTGGAATGCATTACCACCCTCTTGTATAGATCTGGAGAGGAATTTATATGGTGCAGTTAGCAATGGATGGTATTGCAATAAGCAAAGCAAAGGGACCAGACTTAGTTGTTGTGGGTCGCGTAAAAGCCATTTAGAGCAGTGGTTGAGGCTGTAGAGAGTCTCTTCTTCTGAATCCGAATCTGATCGGGGATTTGTGGCGTCGAAGAGTTTTTTGTGGACTAAGAATCTCATGAGGCGGGAGAGGTGAGCGATGTCTAGAGATGGTGAGGAGGCAACGTCGTTGGCGATTTGGGATAAGGTGATGGGGCAGCCGCGTGCTTGGATGATGTCCGCTATACCAAGATCCAAAGCACACTTCAAAGCAATTGAGTCCACAAAATGAAACATGCATTGCCATATTTCTGCTTGGCCTCGTAACATGGCTTCTGCTTCGTTCGCCATTCTCTCTCTCTCTCTCTCTCTCTCTCTCTCTCTCTCTCTGGTATATGTTTGGGAGTTCAATACTAAAAAAATTCAAACCATTTTCACCATTTTTTTTGGGTGTGTTTTCGAAAAAAAACTAATCATTACAAGATCAACCTCTTCTGAATTGCAAACATCATCTAAGTTGTGAACTTCCTCTAAGCTTACATTGGCCCCGTTTGGTAGAGCTGTGGGAAAGTGATTATAGCTTATACCTTAACAGCTTATAGCTTATAACTGTGAGCATAAACTGATTTTTTTACTTATAAATTAAGCTTCTCCTCCCCCACTCAAAGAATAAGTTGATTTCTGACTCCCAAAAAGTTATAAGCTATAAGCTATAAGCTAAACCAAACACATTAAAATAGCTTAAATTAAGCTGAAAGCTGAAATAAGCTGAAATTAAGCTGTACCAAACAGGGCCATTGACTTTAAGAAATGAACATCATTATATAAGTCTAAAAGCTAGACTTAATTTTTAAGATTATAGGTGTGATAATCAATTATGATATTTAAGGTAATATACTTTTTCAAATTTTCTTAATCATTAATCAATTATATCAGTTACACATTATTAAATTTAGAAAATAAATTTACAAAATCGATTTGTATATTATTTTTCTTATAAAATTTGTTTGTGAGTGGGTTTTGGTGAAGGAAAGTAACGTTGGGTGATGGTGCTAAGAAATTTTAAAACCCGTTAATCTATTCACAAATTTTATTCACTTTCAACTTATGAAAATTTCAATTATAAAAGACTTATATCAAGTGGGATTGACTGATTAGATTTTGTATAATTAAAAAATTTTAAAATTATTTTGCTATGACTTTGTTCGCGAAACTAGTTGGAGCTAATTTAACCCACTAAAAAATAAAATAGACTAAAAAGTGAACAAGATACAATGTCAAATCCAAACTATAATCAATTTACTTTTTTCTGACAAAATTACAAAAAAAAAAAATCAAAAATTCTCTTCAAACGGAACTTTTTGGGTCAGGCTAAAATAGTCAAAAAGTTAAAAAATCAAACTAAAAAATTTCCTAATTGTTATTATTGCTATTGTTGGGGGTTTTGCACAGAGCAGCAGTAAAAATCAAAATTTGTTATTTTGTCAAACTATGTGCCAAATTTGACACAAAGTTTGGTAATGTTATAATTCATTGGGGGAGTAGTACTGAGTAGTAGGAAAAATCAGAATTTTTTATTTTACCAAGCCATGTGTTGAATTTGGCACGAAGTTTAGTAATGTTATAATTCGTTTGGAGGAAATACAGTCACAAAAAAAATCAAAAAAAATTAGGGTATGGTAACTGTTAACGTGCTTGAGTTGGACATTGACTTTAAGAAATGAACATTGTTATATAAGTCTAAAAGTTAGACTTAATTTTTAAGATTATAGGTGTGATAATCAATTATGATATTTAAGGTAATATACTCTTTCATATTTTCTTAATCATTAACCAATTATATCAGTTACACATTATTAAATTTAGAAAATAAATTTAAAAATTAGATTTGTATATTATTTTTCTTATAAAATTTGTTTGTGTGTGGGTTTTGGTGACGGAAAGTAACGTTGGGTGATGGTGCTAAGAAATTTTAAAACCCGTTAATCTATTCACAAATTTTATTCACTTTCAAATTATGAAAATTTCAATTATAAAAGACTTATATCAAGTGGGATTGACTGATTAGATTTTGTATAATTAAAAAATTTTAAAATTATTTTGCTTATGACTTTCGTGAAACTAGTTGGAGCTAATTTAACCCACTAAAAAATAAAATAGACTAAAAAGTGAACAAGATACAATGTGAAATCCAAACTATAATCAATTTACTTTTTTTTGACAAAATTACAAAAAAAAAAAAAAAAAAATCAAAAATTCTCTTCAAACGGAACTTTTTGGGCCAGGCTAAAATAGTCAAAAAGTTAAAAAATCAAACTAAAAAAGTTCCTAATTGTTATTATTGCTATTGTTGGGGGTTTTGCACAGAGCAGCAGTAAAAACCAAAATTTGTTATTTTGTCAAACTATGTGCCAAATTTGACACAAAGTTTGGTAATGTTATAATTCATTGGGGAAGTAGTACTGATTAGTAGGAAAGATCAGAATTTTTTATTTTACCAAGCCATGTGTTGAATTTGGCACGAAGTTTAGTAATGTTATAATTCGTTGGGAGGTAATACAGTCACAGAAAAAATCAAAAAAATTAGGGTATGGTAATTGTTAACGTGCTTGAGTTGGACATTGACTTTAAGAAATGAACATTGTCATATAAGTCTAGAAGTTAGACTTAATTTTTAAGATTATAGGTGTGATAATCAATTATGATATTTAAGGTAATATACTCTTTCATATTTTCTTAATCATTAACCAATTATATCAGTTACACATTATTAAATTTAGAAAATAAATTTAAAAATTAGATTTGTATATTATTTTTCTTATAAAATTTGTTTGTGTGTGGGTTTTGGTGAAGGAAAGTAACGTTGGGTGGTGGTGCTAAGAAATTTTAAAACCCGTTAATCTATTCACAAATTTTATTCACTGTCAACTTATGAAAATTTCAATTATAAAAGACTTATATCAAGTGGGATTGACTGATTAGATTTTGTATAATTAAAAAAATTTAAAATTATTTTGATTATGACTTTGTTCGCGAAACTAGTTGGAGCTAATTTAACCCACTAAAAAATAAAATAGACTAAAAAGTGAACAAGATACAATGTCAAATCCAAACTATAATCAATTTACTTTTTTCTGACAAAATTACAAAAAAAAAAAATCAAAAATTCTCTTCAAACGGAACATTTTGGGTCAGGCTAAAATAGTCAAGAAGTTAAAAAATCAAACTAAAAAAGTTCCTAATTGTTATTATTGCTATTGTTGGGGGTTTTGCACGGAGCAGCAGTAAAAATCAAAATTTGTTATTTTGTCAAATTATTTGCCAAATTTGACACAAAGTTTGGTAATGTTATAATTCATTGGGGGAGTAGTACTGAGTAGTAGGAAAAATCAGAATTTTTTATTTTACCAAGCCATGTGTTGAATTTGGCACGAAGTTTAGTAATGTTATAATTCGTTGGGAGGTAATACAGTCACAAAAAAAATCAAAAAAATTAGGGTATGGTAATTGTTAACGTGCTTGAGTTGGACATTGACTTTAAGAAATGAACATTGTTATATAAGTCTAAAAGTTAGACTTAATTTTTAAGATTATAGGTGTGATAATCAATTATGATATTTAAGGTAATATACTCTTTCATATTTTCTTAATCATTAACCAATTATATCAGTTACACATTATTAAATTTAGAAAATAAATTTAAAAATTAGATTTGTATATTATTTTTCTTATAAAATTTGTTTGTGTGTGGGTTTTGGTGAAGGAAAGTAACGTTGGGTGGTGGTGCTAAGAAATTTTAAAACCCGTTAATTTATTCACAAATTTTATTCACTTTCAACTTATGAAAATTTCAATTATAAAAGACTTATATCAAGTGGGATTGACTGATTAGATTTTGTATAATTAAAAAATTTAAAATTATTTTGCTTATGACTTTGTTCGCGAAACTAGTTGGAGCTAATTTAACCCACTAAAAAATAAAATAGACTAAAAAGTGAGCAAGATACAATGTCAAATCCAAACTATAATCAATTTACTTTTTTTCTGACAAAATTACAAAAAAAAAATCAAAAAAATCAAAAATTCTTTTCAAACGGAACTTTTTGGGTCAGACTAAAATAGTCAAAAAGTTAAAAAATCAAACTAAAAAGGTTCCTAATTGTTATTATTGCTATCGTTGGGGGGTTTTGCACAGAGCAGTAGTAAAAATCAAAATTTGTTATTTTGTCAAACTATGTGCCAAATTTGACACAAAGTTTGGTAATGTTATAATTCATTGGGGGAGTAGTACTCAGGCCTAGGAAAAATCAGAATTTTTTATTTTACCAAGCCACGTGTTGAATTTGGCACGATGTTTAGTAATGTTATAATTCGTTGGGAGGTAATACAGTCACAAAAAAAATCAAAAAAATTAGGGTATGGTAATTGTTAACGTGCTTGAGTTGGACATTGACTTTAAGAAAAATGAACATTGTTATATAAGTCTAAAAGTTAGACTTAATTTTTATGATTATAGGTGTGATAATCAATTATGATATTTAAGGTAATATACTCTTTCATATTTTCTTAATCATTAACCAATTATATCAGTTACACATTATTAAATTTAGAAAATAAATTTACAAAATAGATTTGTATATTATTTTTCTTATAAAATTTGTTTGTGTGTGGGTTTTGGTGAAGGAAAGTAACGTTGGGTGGTGGTGCTAAGAAATTTTAAAACCCGTTAATTTATTCACAAATTTTATTCACTTTCAACTTATGAAAATTTCAATTATAAAAGACTTATATCAAGTGGGATTGACTGATTAGATTTTGTATAATTAAAAAAATTTAAAATTATTTTGATTATGACTTTGTTCGCGAAACTAGTTGGAGCTAATTTAACCCACTAAAAAATAAAATAGATTAAAAAGTGAACAAGATACAATGTCAAATCCAAACTATAATCAATTTATTTTTTTTTGACAAAATTACAAAAAATAAATAAATAAAAAAATAATCAAAAATTCTCTTCAAACGGAACTTTTTGGGCCAGGCTAAAATAGTCAAAAAGTTAAAAAATCAAACTAAAAAGGTTCCTAATTGTTATTATTGCTATTGATGGGGGTTTTGCACAGAGCAGCAGTAAAAACCAAAATTTGTTATTTCGTTGGGAGGTAATACAGCCATGTGTTGAATTTGGCACGAAGTTTAGTAATGTTATAATTCGTTGGGAGGTAATACAGTCACAGAAAAAATCAAAAAAATTAGAATATGGTAATTGTTAACGTGCTTGAGTTGGACATTGACTTTAAGAAAAATGAACATTGTTATATAAGTCTAAAAGTTAGACTTAATTTTTAAGATTATAGGTGTGATAATCAATTATGATATTTAAGGTA